CATTTTCAGGCTGTAATTTTCTTTTCTTTTTTAATGTCACTTCAATATTGGAGAATTTTGGTTTTGGTGGTGGTGGATTCTTTTTGTTTTTAAATTGGCTGTCTTCTTGTAACAGCTATAAGCTTTCAGAAGAACAGATGAAAACACTTGTAAGCTGTGACACTATCAAGGAAGTCATGCCCAAGATCCCTCTTATTGGTTTGGTCAGAATCTAGTTAGTAACTAGGTATTGTGAAATACAACTTCATATGTGTGGTATTATTGTCCTGTATTGCTCTTATCTTGTATTGGTGTGATATGTAGTTCAGATACAGTTGAGCAGAAGTCTGTAACCATTAAATGATCCTGTGTGTGAAGATGTGCGTGAAAGTAAAAGCTTTGAAGGAAACCTCTGTCTGTTTTCTAATACACTGTTTCAAACACTGGGCAGTGAGCATGAAAATGAGTATCAAGGAGTTGTGCAGTTAATTTTATATTGGCCAAGCTTAACTCTGAATGAAGGAAATATTTGGATGTTACAGGGAACAAAGCACAACAAAGTGTAATGTTAAAAATGCTGCTTTAAACCTTGGTCATGACTTCTCAGTGCTTCCGTTCTCATTTGGTTTTCTGTTGATGTGTTCATATCTGTGCTTGCTCTATGACTTCCATCTAGTCAGGCAAAACCACTCTTAATCATCCATCACTAGTGAAGCAATTTACAGTTTTGTTCCAAGTTTTTAAGAAGCCAGACTTAAATGAGCAGCTGTGTTCACCTCTGTGTGAAAAGGGGTTCCTGCTCTGATTTCCTTTTTCCACCTGTTCCTAACTGGGTTCTTGCACTTTTCAGATTCTGTGAGATTATTCCATTTACAAAGGCATGTAGTCTTTTTGGAGTTTTTTGGTGGGTTTTTTGTTCACTTTTTATTACTCTATTCTTTTTTTTTTATTATTATTTCCCATGAGTGAATAAATTGAATTGCCTTCTGAAGAAATTTGGCAGGTGCCAAGCTAGTGCAAGTTAAGCAGCAGAAATGTGGCTAGAAGCAGAAGGAAGGGGAGTGAGGTCTCCTTTTGGTGGGAGTGAGTGTTCAGAGGTAATTCTGTGAGGCTCGATGCATAGATCTGCGTCAACTTAGGAACAAAAATTTTTCACGTTCTTTTTTGCCTTCTGGGAATGAAAATTTCTCACGGTTGTCTGTGGACCAGACAAATCATCCTGATAGGCCATCAAATGGGCGCTTCTGTTCAGAGGTGATAGTTAAGTGTTTCAGGTCGTTTAAATACCTTTTTCCCTCCCCCGCTTTTCCATAGGTTTGTCCTGTTGTTACCATGCAAAGGACAACTTAATGTGCCGTGATGTCTGTGAACAGGTAAGCTTGTTTTAAATTTGGTTTATCCCTCGGAGTTAAAGTCATGCCTTTAGACAACGATGTAGCAAGATTAGGGTTATAAGCAAATGATTTTCTGTGTGAATACTATGTGTGAATTGTGAGATGTAATATTATTGTTATTTAAATTAGAACTTAAACTTTTAAAACTGTAGTCCTCTTTCATAGTGGAAAACAGGTTCTGCTGAGGTTGAAGAGAAATAGATATACAAATCTGAGGTCAGGATTTGGTCAAGAAGTGATAAGCATGTTAGGAAATGGGAGGGGTGAAGATATTTTACCCAATTTCTGGATCTTGTGTGTTTCCAAGCGTTGGGGAATTTAGAATGAAGAACAAGATGTCAGTACTGTTCTTTCTTCCTGCCGGTTCTTGTTTCTTAGCTAAGTGTCTGAGATACTTACTATGATATATGGCTTTGTGAATCCAGCAAAAATCTGCTTACTTACTCTGTTCGTAAGGTAATAACAAAGAGATGTTTGTGCTAAATTCAAGCTTGGAAAATACTTTTCTACAATTTACGTTTAGATTTGTACCTTTGGATAGTATGTTGTACAGCTTTGTGTGCGTGTATTTCTATAAATTTATATACATAAAAATTTTACATCAGTAAAGCATACATACACACAATTTTTATATTAAAATTTTGTCCTTACATCATACCTGCCCCTTTTCTTGTCTTCGTTACCTGCTTTGGGGCTATTCAAGCACTAAACCTGCTTATGATTAAGTTTATATTTATCTGTGATTGTACTAAGAAAACTTTTAGTTTAAATTGCGCTTATTCCTCCCTGATATATTTATAGAATGCAATCAAATCCCCTTTCAGCTTTACTGTTGTTAGGCCAAACAAGGAAAAGTCTGGCAGTCTCTTTGTGTAAGATATTCTCTCAATTCCTATAATTATTCTCACAGCCCTGCCAGCATAAGTTTATCTCTTTGAATACAGATAAGCAAAACTGTACATGGTATTATAAACAAAAGTATAGCACTCAGTCTTAAAAATCATGTTAAAACTTACATGTAAGAGAAAGATGTCCATTCCTGAATATAAACAAATTTAATCAGCAGGTTTAATAGCTGCATTGAGAGGGCGTTTGGAATAATCTGTCCAGTTCTTGCTTCTGTTGCATTGGTTTGAAGTTCCCAGTTTATCATGTGAATTCCTGTTAGCTCTTCATGAAAGGCCTTGAGCTTTTTGCTGTCAAATTCCATCCCATTTGTGTTATTCCGGTTCTAATTATTCTGTAGGGTTTTCTGTGGTTTTTGTAAGATACTTTGATTTTGCCTCCTCTGGATGATCTCTCTCTACTCAGATAATCAGCATATTCAGAGTCTTTGTGGTGAGAGGTCTAGAACAAGTCTCAAGCAAGACTGGCGCCCCTCAAATTGTCCTATAAGGAGCTGTCTTAGTTACATCAGGCTGGTAGCATCATTTGCTGAATGATTCTTTGATATAAGCCAACAAACTGGCTGAAGGGGCTGTCTACTATTTTTCTACTGCCTTTCATGTTCTGTAACAACCATTTTGTGCAGCACGATTCAAATGCTTTGTCTTTGTTGGATCCAATTTGGAATGTATTATTTGATACTCCCCCCCTTGTCTTAAACATAAAATTTGTAGGATGAAGGTTTACATACATGGGAGGTGACTGTAAGGGAACAGAATTGGCTGAATGACTTGCCTTTTTCTGTCTTTCCAAACACCTTTTCTAAAATATTTGCCATGCACTTGTTGCCTTGTCTGTACCACCACACTGTACCATCCTGACATGATAATTTATTTAATAATAATAATAAAAAAGTTTTCCTCCTAGACTTGGTAGTTTGAGCCCTAAAACATTGAAGTTGCTTGCCAGGGGCATCAGGGAAAGAACGACGGC